TATATTTTGAACAAGGATTATGGACTAATTAACAAAAAGAAAAAAACTCCCTACTAAAATAGGTAATATTTCTAAATTGTTATATTATAAAGAGAAATTTAAAAAAATGTCACTTTTCAAATGTCACTTTACAAAAATGCTACACTATTGGAATCTTTACAAAAATGCCACTTTTTCAAAATTATTTTTTCTTTATATTATTTATTTTGGGTTAATTATGTTCTATTAGGATTTAGTAACGAGAGTTTAGGGAGTTTTAGGGATCAAAATATTTTTTCGGATTTAGAATTTTAAGATATAGGCTTTATAAATCTATAATTAGTGGCATTTTTGTAAATGGACACCTCTAAGTAGCATTTTTGCATTTTTGGTATGTACATTTGCAAGAATGTCACTTAGGGGTGCCATTTGCAAAAATGCCACTAATTATTGATTTTTAAAGCCTAAATCTTAATATTTTATAAACCCTAAAAAATGTTTTGATCCTTAAAACCCTCAAAACTAAATCCTATTACAACATAGTTAACCCAAACATAAATGATATAATGATTTTTTTTTTTGTTGAAAAGTGGCATTTTTGCAAAGATTTTGAAAATGTGGCATTTTTAAAAAGTAGCATTTTTGAAAAGAGAAATTTCAAAAATACCACTTTTCAAGTGCCACTTTACAAAAATGCCACACTTTTGAAATCTTTACAAAAATGCCACTTTTTCAAAATTATTTTTTCTTTATATCATTTATGTTTGGGTTAATTATGTTCTATTAGGTTTTAGTTACGAAGGTTTAGGGGGTTTTAGGGGTCAAAACATTTTTTAGGGTTTAGAATTTTAAGATATAGGTTTTATAAATCTATAATTATTGGTATATTTGCAAATGGGCACCCCTAAGTGACATTCTTGCAAATGTGCACACAAAAAGTGGCATTTTTGTAATTACCCTTTTTAAAATTTTCTCAAATTTAAAATGAAATATAGATATGACATATGTTGACAAAAAAAAATAGATATGACATAAGCCATAAAAGAACAAATAATACATACAAAATAAAAATATGAATTAAATTAAATAAAACCATAAAAAACAAGGTATATAAAGAATTGGTAAGACAAAAGTTAGAAAGTTTACAGAAACCATGTAAAAATTAAATAAATAAAAAATCTACAAGAATACTTAGAATTATAGAATATTACAAAGAAAATGTTAATTTTTAAGATAAATTTTTAAAAATGCCATTTTTCAAGTGCCACTTTTCAAAAATGCATCATTTTCAAAATCTTTGCAAATATGGCATTTTTGCAATTGCCCCAATTTTTTACCTATGACGCATTTGGTATTTATTGTCGAAATGTATATACTAAAATTTCTACAAGTTAAAAAAAGTATAATATTATATTTACTATTTGTGACCACAAAAAAAAATATATTTACTAATAAGTTAATATTGTATAAAGTTTGGCAGTACTATAAGAAACAAAAAAAATATTAATAAAATATAATTATCAATCATGTCCTTGTGTGATGGTTCACAACATTATTTATAGTTTTTATGAGATTAATAACATAAA